TCCTGAGTTCGCCCACGCACCTCTGCCCCGCCGCTCGCCCACGTCTTCTCCCCTTGCGAAGCCCGGTTCGATTTTCTGCTCCGCTCCTTTCTCGACCCTTCGATCCCTGCGCCTCCGACACTCCTACATGTCAGCTTATCCCTCGTCCCGCTTCCTTTCTGGTTCGTGCTCCTTGCCAATTTGCTATTTGCCCTCGCATCCGGGCCCCTCCACGCCTCTGCCACCACCTGTCGCACGTTTGTTCCCCTCCACTGCTCCACGTCACCACCCCTTTTGGTTTCCAGGTCATCCGGAACCCGATGCTATCGCTTCCTTTTGTTGTGTTTCGCTTTTTCACTTCCACCCCATCCCTAACCCAATTGTTGGTCATGGATCCACCCGTCACTCGCCTAGCCCTCAACTCCCACCTTGTTCTGGTTGCTCTACCTCCCCGAAGCCGTGGACGTTTGTGCTACGCAGACGTTCCCTCTTTTGTCAGATCCATCTCCTCCCCTACCCTCGTCGCTCCCCCACTCTACCAACAACTACTCCCTTCGCCACCTCTTTAGTTTCACATTCGAGAAACTTCTACCTAGTGGAATCAGGCTGCCGCCTAGGCTCCTGGTCTTGTTTTTGGGGAAGCTGTGGCCGCTGCCTATGCCCCCTCGCCACTACGTATGGCTCGCGCTCACCCAATCGCGCCTGGTCCTCATTTCTAACCTCTAGAAGCTACGTTGCTGCTCCCGCTCGCCCTTTCCTCCCACGCTTCGCACGTTTCAGCCTACATACGAAGTGCCATCTGCGATCCCTCGCTGTTCCTCGCTCTTCCCTCCGAACCGCCATGAGCTTCCCCTCGCTCGTCTCCGCTCTTCCCTCCCACATTTCGGAATCCTCAGCCCTGATCCGCACCGCCAAACTTTTTTCCTCGGGCTTCCTCGCTCTTCCCTCCCTCATTCCGGAGCTTCCAGCCCAGATCCGCACCGCCATTTGTCTTTCCCCGCTCCTCCCTGCTCTCCCATCCCACATTTCAGGCGCTTTGGTCCAAATCTGAATGGCCAAGAGCTTTCCCTCACTTTTCCCTACTCTTCCCTCCCACCTGTAGGGCTTTTCAGCCCAGATCCGCACCGCCAAGTGTCTCTCCTTGCTCTTTCCCGCCTCTCACTCCCACCTTTCAGGCGTTTTAGTCCAGATCCGAACCGCCCAGAGCCTCTCCTCATTCCTCCCCGCTCTTCCCTCCCAATCTTCCGTCCTTTCAGGCCAGATCCGCACCGCCCTACGCTCCCCTCCGCCCTCCCCTCTCCGCCCCTTCACCCCGCCCCGTACGCCCCCATCAGTGCCGAGACACCCCTCTCCAGAAGTGGGAAGATAAAGATGAACGTCTCCCTGGATGTTCTCATCATCTGTCCAACCTTACTCCCTTTTCCCTCCAGCCCTCCCTCATGGCTGCCTAGAACCATAACCCTGACAATGAGATGGCTCTCGTCAGCGAGGAGCTCCAGCTCGACGGCGAGGAGCTCTATTTTGACGAGCTCTCTGCCATCCCGCTCGCTCCCCCCCACGCAGTCGAGGAGCCCCCGGCGGCCAAGAAGGTCTGTGTCGAAGCACCTCCGGCGCCGGCCAGCAGTGTTCTGGCGGCTTTGGCTTCCCCCCGGCCCATCAATTCCTCGGGCACCCCCTCTGGCGCCCCCCCCCCCCTTGCAATTGCTGCTCCTGCTCCGCCCCCTGCCTTGCGCAGGACCGCCACCCCCCCCTCTCGTCTTAGCGCCGCCCTTGGAGCTGGCGCCGTCCTGTCTGCCCACGCTCCTGGTCCCGCGCCCACCCACATCCTTCGCCGTCCGAGGACCAGCCCTGTCATGCCGCGCCGCCGCCTCGCAGTGGTCTCGCTTCTTAAGCCTGAAACTTGCGTGGACGCTATTCGTGCAGATCTCATCGCTCGCATCACCGCCATGCTGAGGCGGCACTTCTTCCGCTGCGGCTCCGTTCCGGAGTTTGAGGTCGCCACCGGCAAGGGGCTCCGGGTTCCGCGCCGTTCCTATGCTCGGCTCTGCTTTTCGTGGCCTACCGAGGAAGAGGCCGAGGATTTTAAGCGCCTCTTCCACCGCTCTATCCCCCTTAATGCCTCCCGCTCTGTGCTCCTTAAGGTCTTCGAAGACCGCAACCCTGGCTTCACGGCTGCCAAAGCCGGGGGCGCCGCCACGCTGTCGCTCCGCAACTTCCCCCCCGGGTATACCCTGGAAGATGTCCGCGATTTTCTACTGCAAGGTGCGGATCCAGTAGAGCCTGCTTGGCTCGAGGACCTGCAGTTCTTTCATCGCACCACCGACCCGTACGAGGAGGTTTTCCTCCTCGTCTTTACCGGCATCCCCCTCCCCCCCCCGGATGACCCGACCTTCTCCCGCATCCCTGCTGTCATCCCGTTTGCGGATGACTCCCCTCCCGCCCTCCTCAACATCTCCACCCACGTGTGTGCTTTTTGTGGGAACAACCACCGGGACTCTGATCACGAGACCTTCGCCTTCAAGCGGAAGCAGCGTCTGAACAACAAGGTTCAGATTTCTGTTGCCCAGCTGCAGGAGACTAATGGTACGATCACCCCCCCTTTTCCCCTTGCTCAAAACCCCCCAAGAATGCTACTTGCCTGCTGCCGCCCTTATTTCACCCGCCCCTTTTCTTCTATTTTTGCAATCGATCCCCTCTCCTGGTCCCTCTGCCCTGTGTTGTCCTCATCACGCTCAGTTTCGCCTTGGCATGCTCCCGTTTTGCTCTTGAACCAATCCCCCCCCAACTCCTCCCCCGTCTCTCTGATCTACTCACCCCTTGACATTTGCTGGCTGTTTCTCTTCGTTTTTGCATCAACCAGACTCTGTGCTCTCGGCCCCCTGACCCGCCCCCCTACCCGACCCCACCTGCCCCTCCCTTCAGCTACATCTCCCCCCACCTGCCCCCACTCGCTAGTGTGGACGCACTCTGTTTCACTTTCCCCTCTCCCTTGCACTCGTCTCCCTGTTTTTCTCCCACCTTGCTCGCTCCCCTCTCCTACTGCCCCTCTCACCCCTTCCCCCAGGCCAAATCCTCGGGGCACGTCCCGCTCCCGACGCTTTCCGCAAGGACCCTGGTCTCCTCTACATCGGACTCGACACCGAAGTCGAGCCCTGGACCTGCGTCCTCTGCAACTTTGCTTGTGGCCCTGCCCTCGACTCCGCCATGGCGTATATGGCCTCCGAGGCTCATACCTCCAATCTGCGCGCAGCTGCCAAGGGCCCTGCTGCAAAGAAAAAATACAGCAACTGGAGGGCCCTTACCTTCCTGGCTACCCCCCAGATCATGGCATTCCTCTCCCAGTGATTCCAAACTGCCTATGTGATCTTGGCACACGTCCTACTGATGCTAAATCATGCCATAGAAATGTATCTGCTATGTACTTTCACGACTATTTATTATATGTGTCAGGTACATTCAATCACGTGTGCCACCTTGCCCGTACTCGTTTTAGTGATCTGCTCGATATGATAACATGTGTACAGTGGCTGCAATCCTTCCTGGCCCAATCATTGAGTGGTTTTACAAGCACAAGCATCTACTCCATTGCGTCTTACAGCCCGTGGATGCGTGTACCTTCGTGCATGTCAGGCCTCATCTCCGTTACTATGATTGCTCAGTTGAAGACACTGTGCCTAAATATCAACAGTCTAAACGCTCCCTATAAAATGCATGCGCTTAAGAATTGGATCTCAACTCAAGGCAACAAACCCGACATCCTTGTCTTGATCGACACACGCCTCATCCTAAATCTCTCAAAACTATCCCTTCGCTTTTGGCCACACGCTTCTGCCCATGCGATTGCTACCTACCCTCCCGGTAATGCCTTGAGGTCTCGTCCCCCCCCCGGTGGCAGAGTGAAGCCGCCTCATTCTCGAACCTCCTCTCAACCCATTCCCTTCTTGACTCGTTTCGCGCCTTTCACCCCGCCACCACCCTCTTCTCCTATGTTGGCCGGCAAAGACTCACTGTACTTCCGCCTCCCCCTCCTCCGGCCGCTCGTCTGGACCGCATCTACCTGTCTACCTCTTTCCTTTCTCGCCTCCATGCAGCACATGACCTCCTCACCCCTAATCTTGTCTCGGATCACCTGTTCGCCCCATTGTGCTCTCTTGGTTTTGACAACCCTATTATGGCCCCCCGGCCGTGGAGGCTCAGCGCCCCCCTGTTGCGCCGCCCACACATGACCCACATCCTAGATACGCAGCTCCTACGTCCCCCCCCCCCTAGCCGACTCCAGACGACTGGGACCGCTGGAAACAGCAGCTCTCCCTCCGTCTCAAATGCTTCTCTAACCAGGAACGTCGCCGCGTCTCAGGAACCATGGACCACCTCCGCCACCTTATTGGCCGCCTCCAAACCCAAGCTGCCTGTTCCACACTGAGTGTGGAAGAAAACGCCCGCCTCAGCAAAGCTCGGTTACAACTCATGAAATATGAAGCTTCCAAAACCGCTGAGCTAGCCCTCAAAGCCAAGCTCAAGGTCGAGGGCCATCGGGCAATGGGTCTTTCTTCGATGCTCGCCGGCCTCAACACGCGTATCAAAGCCTCGCTCATCTCGTCTCTTACTCTGTCGAATGGTGCAACTTCCTCCCACCTCCCGTCAATGACTGCGGAATGCACACGTTATTTTCAACACTTATACTCTGGCTCCACGCCTGTCGCCCCTAACCCCTCCTTCTGGAGACATATCCCTCGTTCCACCCTGCCCGGCTCGCTAACCCGTCTCTTGCAATCACCCTTCCCCCTCTCTGAAATCGGGAAAGCTCTTGGACAAATATCACGGGGTAGAACTCCTGGCCCGGATGGTCTCCCGGGCGAACTCTTCCGATCTTTCACTCCTCTGTTTGCCCCAGCCTTCCACTCCTTCATTGGCTCACAACCCCCCCTGCGTTACCTCCATCCATGCTCTCCGATCATACTGTTCTTATTCCCAAGAAGGGTGACTCTACACTCGTAGAAAACCTCCGACCCATCATGCTCATGAACTCCGACTACAAGGTTCTTGCCTTATGCCTCGCCAACCGTCTTCAGCGCGTGCTTCCTCACATTATTCACCCATCCCAGACTGCCTTCATTAAACGCCGTAAAATTGGCGATACTAAGAACGATACTCTTGACATTATGGATTGGGCTTCGTATTCCCGCACCCCCCTCTTCGCTCTCACTGTCGACTTCCGTAAAGCATACGACCTTGTTGACCGGGCTTTTCTCCTACAGTCTCTTTCCCACCTAGGACTACCCTCACCATTTGTCCACTGGGTACGCCTCATGCATTCCGGCACCTCCACGTGCATTGCCGTCAACAACCTTGCGGGTCCGCTCTTTCCTGTCCACACTGGTGTTCACCAGGGCTGCCCATTAGCCCCCCTTCTCTTTGTCTGTGTCATTGAGAGTTTCCATCAGTACATGTCCCTATACCTTCCAGGTTTTCCCCTGTCTCCTGTGACTCGCCGTCTCATGGCCTGCTACGCGGACGATGTGACCATCTTCCTCTCGTCAAACGATGAACTCGGTTCTGCAGTCTCTCACCTCCTGACCTTTGCCTCAGTTTCTGGGGAATCCCCAAACTGGAACAAATGCTCCACTATCCCTTTCAACATCTCCTCGTCGCTACTCACGAGTGCAGGGCCCATCCCCATTCGCGCTCTTAACGAGGCTGAACGCATCCTCGGAATCTTAGTTGAAAAAGACAACCCCGGCGCCACAACCTGGAGAACAACCCTCACGAGAGTCCAACGCTCCTTCAGGTACCTTGCGTCCTTACGGGCTACTGCCATGTGCCGCAAATCCCTTGCGTCGGTTTTCCTCAACTCTACCCTATCCTTCCCTGGCCGTTTCCAGCCTGCTTCGCCTGACACCCTCACACGCCTCGACATCACCGTTGGCAACTTCTTATCCTCTTCCCGCTACAAGGAATCTGGTCTAGCAGTTCGCCTTATTCCCGCCGAATTCTTTTCAACTCCCCCCGAGATGGGGGACTCGGCGCCATTGCGCCTTCAACACAGATCCGCGCCCTCTCCATCGAACGCGTGATACGACGCTTTGGGGTGTCCTCCTCTGAAGAGGTCGCTAGGAATGCCGTTGCCCTCCCTTTCGGTACCCATGCTTTCCTATCCCACCCAGCAATTCTTCTTCCTAAAGTTCTGTCCCCGTCCATCCCCCAACGTACGCTCGCAGAACTCCGCGCCTTTTTGTCCATGTCTCCTACTGTCCTACCCCCTCCGAATCCCCTCTCTGTCTGCTCGCCGAACCCACAGCCTTCAACCGCTTCATCCTCGAACTCAACGGAAAGCCCTTTGGCCTTATCCGCCGTGAAAAGTTCCTCCTTACACAGCAGGTCCGCCTAGGCGACATTTGCAATGCCACGTTCAACGGCTTGGAACCCATCTCCCCGGAGGTTTTCGCTGTCAAGTTCCCACCATCCCGTTTTCAATCTGGTCGTCGTGTACTATGAGAACACGTCGCGGCCATCCCCCCTTCATGGTCGTCGGCGCTCCGTGCCCCCACCAATGCTGCGGCATCTCCTGGGGATTGGCTCATCCTCTCTCAGGAACTTCACTCCACCCCTACGCTTGCATTGCAGGTCTCCTCTTTCACCCCGCCGCGCACTCTCTCAGTGACCTTCTTCCGGATCCTCCCGCACCGTCTCATCGATCGGACCCCCATTGGCTCTGGCATTGTTCACATTAAGGACGTTGCGGCCGTGCACACCTCGGATCGCTGGGTGGCAGGGCCGTTTCATACAGGTGCAGGGCTAGGTGCGCGTTTGGAGCTTCTCCACGACGGCTTCCCAAATCTCGCCTCCATCCGTCGCCTTCTCTACTCGCAGCAGCAGTTGGACCACGAGCTTCGTTGGACACGCGCACTCACATCCTCTCCTCCCCCCTTTTTTCCAAACCTTACCCATGACTTTCTTCGAGAGCAACCCAGTCTGCAACGAGACCTCCTTTTTCGCCTCTACACCCAAACCCTTCCTTCAGACGCACGATTCCAATTCGCCAATGACAGGGGTCGCTGCTCTCTTTGTGCATCTGGAGAAATCGAGACCATCTCCCACATTTTCCTCACCTTTGGTATTGCTCCAGCTGTTATCTCCTCGCTAGGCTCGGTTGCCCGCCGTCATCTCGGCTGTTCGCCCCCGGATGAGCTTCTCCTTCTTTCTCTCCATGAGAGAGTTGGACAATCCGCCCCCTGGAGTCTTCTCGTCAGCGCAGCTGCCAAGGGAATCTGGAATGCAAGATGTGAAAGAAAGTTCCACAACTCGTCTTCCACCAAGTTTGAAGCACTTCAACTAATCCTCGCTCAATTTCTTCTCTTGTTCAAGATCTTTTTGTGGAGAAGGTCCGCTCAGTCTACTAAGAAACAACAACGTTCCGCTTCCCGTATCAAGACCGCCATACGCCTCCATTTCATTTGTTTTGACGCCTCAAGCATCCCCTCCATCCATCCTGCCCTTCGTGCCTCGTGGCTACTTGGCAACCCCTTCCGTCCAGGGTTCTCGTTATCAGACCAATTTGGTCTGATGGTCTGAGTTTCAGACGTGATTTTTTGTATTCATCTGATTCCTAAGACTCTGTGTTTATTCTCATCTAATGAGTCAGACAAGCGTTTCAGGTTCGTATGATTTTCCAGACCATGTAGAATACTTAATCTGAATTTACAGATATCAAGTTCGCTTTCGTCTGAAACCGACATCTTGACCCACTAGGCCATATGCCCAGTAGACCACAGGATAGGACCACAGGTACAGCCATTTCCTGCCATGTAACTGCACGCGCATTCAATAGGCGTGTCTTATAGCAACCTCGCTGTCATGTAACTGCGGCATATGCTGCCAGGAGTTTCTCGTGTGGCTGGCTGTCGGCGCCGATGCCAGCCACAGCCACGGCAACTCGTTGTCTTGTTGTGCCAGCGCATTTGCATTTCCTAGACGTCACGCAACATTGCATTGTGGTCGTAGTGCCCCCCGCTCCCAACACGCAGCGCCTTTCGGTTCTCGATGCATTGCACGGTGATGGGGTTTCATGCAGCTGGGTGAGGCTTGAAAACAAGCTTGTTTCTCCTGCTCGTCCTCAACTCTCACTCAGCCGAGCATGGACCGTATCCTTCCCAGTGACTGATCGTATAGACTACAGCTGTCCCCACCGGCGTACCATGCGCTGCGGAGCCCGTGCTAATGGCGTTATATTTCCTAACGCGGGGCGAGCAGATCGCTTCTGTTGCCCCACCGATTGCGTCAACATCTGCTGTGGTTCCTCTGCCCGTAGGCGATGCTCCAATCTCGGTAAATGCCGATCATTCCGTGCCATCAACCGCTACCCCTGCTACGCCAGTATCCACTAGCATGCCAGACAACGGTGCCGATAAGAGCATCCCTGCTGTTTCTGTCGCTACCACCTCTCTCAGTGCTAAACCCGTCTTGCCCGACAGATCAGTAAAGAAGCAGTATAAGCAGCGGGTTCTCACCTACGGACGTCCGGGCGGTCCGACTCAGCCAGCATCGTCAGTGCATGTGCGACCCGTTGCGCCTGAACCCGCGAATGAAGACTTCGAAGATCCTAAAGGCAAGCAACTGTCGGTTGAGGAGCTTCAGTTGAAGTGCAAGGAGCAATGGCAGAGGTATTTTCCTTGGCTTCTCATCTCCGAAAACAAGGACGGCCGGCCCTGCATGCGCTGCAACGTCTGCATGGTCTTCGGAGACCCCAACTACAAATACGGGCGCAACGGCGATGGTGGCATCGACATTCAGAAGCTGACGATACGCAAGCATCACCACAGTCTAAAACATGAGGCGGCGGTCTTGAGGAAGGAGGAGCGCGACGGGGTGAAGAAAGTGCAGAAGTCCATTGCTGACTTCCACCGAGGGGACGCTGATGTCAAGCGTATTGCTCGCTTGATGTCTATACTGTTATTCATTTGCAAGTCTGACGCTCCCATTGTGCTATTCGTGGCATTGGTTCAGTTCATGGCAGAGCAGGGGACTCCGGATCTGCCCCTGAAGGAGAACGGGACGTACTACAGCGAGTAAGTGTCCCGTTCGTAACTTTTGTTTTGTGTTCCGTGTGTTTACAAAAATAATGAGTTTGAACCCCGCTTGTCTCAGGTATGGCTTCGCACAACTGGTCGAGACCATGGTGTGCTACCTGGGATCTCGCCAGCTGTAACACATCCGCGAGAGTCCTTACCTTGGCATCCAGTTGGACGAGAGCATCGACCGACGGCGGGGGAAACACATGATCGTCTATTTGACGTTCATGCGTGACAACGCTCCCGTCACCGAGTTCTTCGCCTTGCTCACTGTGGATTAGTGTGACGCCGCGTCACTCACTACAGTTCTCCTGACGCATCTGGAGAGTACGGGCATCGACCTGATGCGCATCACCGGTATGAGCACTGATGGTGCTTCTGTCATGCCTGGACAGCACAACGGAGTGACCGCGCGCCTTAAAGCAAAGGTTCCTCATCTTGTGTCGTCACACTGCATCGCGCACAGGCAAGTTTGCAGCTTAATGTTTTCTACTTCAGGTTTTTGATATGTGCTAATGTTTCGTTCAATTATCTTGCAGGGAGGCCTTGGCGGCCAAGGATTCTGCCACCGCGCATCCGGACTTCAACATTGTGGACAAGGTGGTCCGTGCCGTAGCGGAAAACCTTGGCCGTTCCTCTGTTAATCACTCCCGTTTCCAAGAGCTTCAGGAGGTCATTTGTGAGACCCACCTCGAAGTCCAAGGCATCAAGGACGTTCGATGGTTGTCTCGTGGCGACGCCATCCAGCGCCTGGTGAAAGTGTTTCCGGCAGCAGTGATGGTATTGCAGGAGACAAACCAGAAGATGTATCAAGTCGTAACGAGCTACAAATTCAATTTCTTGCTGTTCTTCCTTGCGGATGTCCTGAAGGAGCTCAACCTTCTCAGCTTGAAGTTCCAGCGACGACAGGTGAGCATGTTTCTCGACTTATTGTTGGTTGTTTTACTAGACTGTTACTAACATCCTGCTGTTGCAACCCCGTTTACAGGTCGACGCAACCCATGTGCTGCCGATGGTGCACAACACCACCTTACTGCTGCGCACACGTTACCTCGACTGCGACGACGAGTCTTTCGGACAGGGTGGAGACGCGTTGGGCCCATTCCTCAACAAGCACGCATCAGGGGAGTTCTGTGAGGTCCTCATTGCTGGCACAGCTTCCGACGGCACATCGGTCAGCCATCGATACCGACTGCACGAGGAGAAAATCAAGGGGCAGAAAAGTGGTGTGGACCACCAAGCGTGTTTGGAGCTGGCGCGCGAGTTCATCACGACCTTGGTTGGTAGGCTCGACTACCGCCTCAAGGACCTTTCACACCTCGATGGTGCGAAGCTGTTGAAGCAGGGATCGTATCCCAAGAACCAGGCAAAGCGCGAACGCAGGCTAGGACAATGGCTCCAGTCTCTGCGCAACATGTTCAAGAAGAAGACAGAAGATCCGGATACCCTACCAGGTGCGTTAAATCCCGGGGATGTGCTGCTATAGTGTTTAGTCTTTTCTTACAGCTGCATGTTTTAACCCTTTCTAATCTCCTTTCTCAACGTCCCCATGCGCACCCCAACCGCAGGCATCAACTGGGCGAGAGCGCCGAGGGAGATCGTCACCTTCTCCACAATCATGGCCACACACCAGGAGGATGTGGGCTTTGCGGACAGCGTGAAGCTCATGCTGTCCTCTCCCGACTGGGCGACATGCTACCCGAACCTCGTGCACTTGTGGATCGCCGTCGCCGTGCTTCCGCTCAGTACCGTGGAGTGCGAGCGCGTCTTTTCACGGCAGAACATCATCAAAAGCTGGCTTCGCGGGAACCTGTGCGACGCGAAGCTAGGAGAGCTGATGGCTGTCTCGCTTCTTAACTATGAAATGGAGTGGCCCGAGTTACTGAGAAGGTGGAATGCTTCCAAGAAGCGCAGGCCTGCCAATGATGTGTTGATGGCGTCCGGGGAGAGACAGAGCAAGCGTGCGAAGAAAAGATCAGCCGCAGCAGCAGCAGCAGCAGCAGCACCGGCAGCAGCAGAAGCAGCTGCTCGAGAAGCGGCCCTAGCAGCAGAAGCAGCAAGGCTGGATGCTGAGTACCCGTGGCTTACTAGGAAAGATAGGGCCACTGTTCCAGAGTCAATGGTAAGCGAGGATGATAGTGATAACAATGAACAGTGCGGCTCTAGTGACTCTTACTAGGTTGTTTGCTACTGACTAGGTTTTTCTGTACTGACTAGAACTACCTGTAGGATTTGTATAGACAAGAGATAACTCTGCAGGATAACAGTACGATGACTTTTGTCAGGAAAGTTTTTTCCGTCTTATTAATCTGACTAGAAAAATGTTTTCAGCTTATAATGCAGACCATGAAAATTTCGTCGTCCGAGCATAAGACGGGGAAAAAATTTTCCCGGATACTGTCAGACAGCCCCAAAACCTAGCGAGAGCCCTGCTTCCGTCCCCCATAGATGCTGCCCTCATCATAGAGCGCTCTCCCACGACAGCCGGGGGATATCCCCTCGGGGGTAGGGGAATAACATGTTGTGACGTACTCCTGATAGGTTGTTGGTCCTTTGACCATATTCCCTGCTTGCTCTATGCATGTTTGTAACTGGTCACGACCTTAATATAACCTTAACCATAACCTTAACCAAACCGAATCACCAGTCAAAAACGCAAGCAGAAAACGAAAATTAACAATCGTCTTCCATGATTGGTCAAACAATCGTCCCCAAAATCCTAGTGTCAAGAATCCTAGTCGGTGAGGACGCGTTTGTACTCTGAATGATCAGAGTACACCCCCGGGAATCTCTGAAATTTCAGAGTTAGCCAACCCAAAACTCTGAAAATTACAGAGTTGATGCCCTAAAAAGTCTAATTTCTACAGAGTTCACCAAATAAAAAATCTGAAATATCAGAGTTTTTCATGCAAAACACAGAAATTTCTCTGACTTCTGAGGGCCTGCCACCAATACCGTAATCCCCCGCATAGTACACCCCCCAAAATAGAACACCCACGGGTGCTCTATTACGGTGGGTGTATGTCAGAATAACTGAACGAGGAATGGATGAACTAGCAGGAAGGTGGGTACAAGTATGAAACCCTAAGTTTGTGTACCCTCTAAGGCTAGACCCACTATAGCCTACACAATATAAACATACAATGTTTGACACACCCCCATAGGCGAAGTGGGAGACAACCAGAGGGTCACAAGACCAGTCAAAGCAAAGCAAAGCAAAGCAAAACAGGCTCAGGGTGGATCTCAATGATACCACACAAATTCCGAGCACAAGCAAGCGGTCACAAGACCAGTTCACATGCAGTTTGATAATGTAGCAAGACATACAGTGATCACAACCTAGCAAGTGTAAACATGCAGGTATATATATATAGAGATCACAGTACAAATAGAGTCAAGAAGTAAGCAAGTGAGGTCTAGCAAACACAAGGCCTAGAAGAGTACAGAAACGCTGATGGTCACAAGGCTGAAGCGCCTTGGTGAACACATCAGCAAGGTTGGCCTCAGTGGCCACGTAACGCAGACGTAGCTGACCACGCTGCTGCAGCTCTCGAGCAAGGAAGTACCGCAGGGCAATGTGCTTCGTTCTGTGCTCCAGTCTGTGCTCCTCACACAAGGCAATGGCAGCCTGGTTGTCGACGTACAGCACTGGAGGAGAACGAGGCCGCTCTCCGAGGTCGGTCAGCAGGTAGGTCAGCCAGCGTAGCTCCTGGGCAGCCATGGCTGTGGCGTAGATCTCAGCCTCACAACTGGAGCTGAGAACAGAAGAAGAGCGTGTAGAACGCCAAGAAACTGAGCCGGAGCCAAGGCTGAAGGTGTAACCCTGAGACGACCGCTGAGTAGCCTGGTCGTCCGCCCAAGAAGCGTCTGAGTGTCCAGTAAGTACAACTCGGTCTCGTCCTCCAAGCACTAGCCCCATGCCCGACGTACTGCACAAGTAGCGCAACACCCTCTTAGCGGCATCCATGTGCTCCTTCCTGTGACGGCCAGGAGCGACATAGCGTGCAAGGATGCTAAGAGGGTATGCAAGGTCAGGTCGAGTGTAGGTCATCAGGTACATGAGGCAGCCCACAAGCTCTGGATACGGGCCACTCGGCTCTACGGACTCATCCGAAGGCAGAGCTGAGAGCGAGTGACCGGTAGGCAGAGGAGTGGACTGAGGCGAGGAGTACGTGAAGCGGAAGCGCTGAAGGATCTGCTGCACCATGTGTGACTGAGTCAAGGTGATGGTGCGCCGTGCTCTGTCCCGGGTGATCCGCAAGCCAAGATAGCTTGTCAGTTCACCCAGGTCTGTGCACGTGTGTCTCCTCTGTAGCTCCGACTTCACGTGGGCGAGTGCCGCAGTGTCAGCAGTGGCAAAGACCAAGTCGTCGACGTACACGAGGATGTAGAACGGCGGCAGCGAGGTGTCTGTGCGTAGAAACAGTGACGGGTCAGTAGTAGAGGGAGCGAACCCAAGAGCCGCAAGTGTCGTCCTCAGTGTGTCGTGCCACTCATGCGGTGCCTGGCGGAGACCGTAGACCGGCCGCTGGAGCCTCCACTGGGTACCAGGAGGAACCGACCCAGTGAAGCCAGGAGGGCGGCGTAGCCAGATCTCCTCGTGCAGGCTGCCCTGCAAGAAAGCAGTGCTGAAGTCAAGTGAGTGAAGCTCGTAGTCGCGGTGAGCGGCTATGTGCAGCAGCACCCGAAGAGTGGTCATCTTCGGGGTGGGGGAGAAGGTCTGGAAGAAGTCAACTCCCTCTCGCTGACTGAAGCCTCGAGCCACATAGCGCGCCTTGAAGACAGGAGGAGAACCCGGTGGCCGCTTCACCCTGAAAATCCACATGCCACTGACGATGTTCGCCCCAGGTGGGGGAACCTCGTCGACGTAGGTGCGTGTGGACTTCCAGGAAGCCATCTCTGCGTCCATGGCTGTCTGCCACTGAGAGGAGTAGGGACCCGCCATCGCCTCGGCGTAGGTGCGCGGGGTCGGGATGTCTGGTGCATCCGGGTCTCCCTCAGGGGCAACTAGCATGGACACGAGATGGGGCAAAGCAGCAGCAAAGCACTGGAACTCCTCCTGTCTGTCCTCAAGGACGTCCGTGCCAAGAGCACACTCACCCCCGACGGACGGAGGATAGACAGACTCAGACTCGGACTCAGCAACAAGGCTAGTGGCGTAGTCTAGACGACACCGGGCAGCAAAGTCTACCAACTCAGCGACCAGAGCAGACGCAGCAGAGGACTCAAAGGTAGGGTCAGTGACAACAGTAGCGAGAAGACGCGTGACAGTGGGACTGGCAGCACGACGGGAGTCAGACTCCGGGTCAGGAAGAGTAGGAAGAGAGGACGCAGGAGGAGACGGCAGCGGGACACGCTGAGGAGCAGTGGAGGGACGCAGAGTCATGTAGTGAGTGCCAGGGACAGGAGGAGGACGCTCACGTGGGACACGACGGCCAGTGCGAGCAGTACGAACAGGCGACGCAGGACGAGACTCAGGCTCACGACGCTCTGTAAGACCTCCCGTGGGACCAGCGTAAGGAGAGGGAGCAGGGAGAGGCGAGGCAGGCGGTAACTGTGACTGCGGCGGGACAGGCGGAGGACACTCTACGGAGGGAGGAGGACAAGGAGGAGGAGTCTGACCAAGAACCTGCTGAAGGAGCGGTACGAAGTACGGTCGCGGCCGCGCAGCGTCTCCAGAACGAGCAGAGACACCAGCAGCAGGGTCCTCAGTACCCGCAGTAGCTCCAACGTCCGGGTCCTCAGCACCAGCAGCAGCTCCAACGCCCGGGTCCTCAGCACCAGCAGCAGCGCCACCGCCCGGGTCCTCAGCACCAGCAGCAGCCCCAACGCCCGGGTCCTCAGCACCAGCAGCAGCGCCACCGCCCAGGTCCTCAGCACCAGCAGTAGCTCCAACGCCCGGGTCCTCAGTACCAGCAGCAGCGCCACCCCCAGGGTCTGCAGCACCAGGAGCACCACTCCGAAGACTGCAGCGCCGCGCGTACCACTCTCGGATCTGCTGAATGGGGGGGAGCTCCTGGGTAGGAGGGGAAGTACTGGTACGAGCTCCAGCAGCACCTCTCCGGAGGCGGCAGTACTGTAGGTACCTCTCCTGCAGCTGCTGGGAGGAGAGGGCTCCCCCAGGTGGAGCACGCTCAGGCTCAGCACCTCCAGACACAGCACCCCCAGACTCAGCACCTCCAGGCTCAGCACCCCCAGACTCCGCACCCCCAGGCTCAGCACCCCCAGACTCAGCACGGTCAGGCTCAGCACCCCCAGGCTCAGCACCCCCAGACGCAGCACCGCCAGACGCAGCACCTCCAGGCTCAGCACCTCCAGACTCCGCACCCCCAGGCTCAGCACCTCCATGCTCCGCACCCCCAGGGTCCGCACCCCCAGGCTCCGCACCCCCAGGCTCACCTCCCTCAGACTCCTCACGGTCAGGCTCAGCACCCCCAGCAGGACGAGAGTCAACAGCTACCTCGACAGGCTCAACCGGGTCTACCT